GATGAAAAATGATTGATTCTTTTCTAAGCAATTGCACAATAGATCATCTGGAGGATGCTGGGCAAATTTTAAGCTATCCATACCTTGTGCTAAGGAAAAAACAGGTTAAATTTAGTAGCTTATTTCAGAGAAATAGTTCTAGAGTTTAGTGGCACATCAAACTAGGCTTCTATGTATTAGGTACAGAGGCCACTGTGCAGCCAGGTGCAGCCATGACAGTCAGCAGATGTGATTTTTTTTAATGTGATATTTTAAAAGAAAACGGGGGCAGGGAGTGGCAGCGTGGTAGCATAGTGGCTAAAATCCTCACTTAGCATGTGCCAGGATCCCATATGGGCAACGGTTCTAATCCCGGCAACTCTGCTTTCCATCCAGCTCCTTGTTTGTGGCCTGGGAAGGCAGTGGAGGACAGCCCAAAGCCTTGGGACCCTGCATCTGCTTGGGAGACCTGGAAGAAGCTCCTGGCTCCTAGCTTTGAGTCAGCTCAGCTCTGACTATTGCAGCCACTTGGGGAGTGAATCAGGGCATGGAAGATCTTCTTCTCTGTCTCTCCTCCTCTCTGTATATCTGACTGTGCAATTACAATAAAATAAATCTTAAAAAAAAAAAGAAGAAGACAGGAATGGATCAGCTTTCTGGCATAGTACTTGGTTCTAATATGGCTAACCTCAGCTATCTGCTCCTATGAAAATGCTTGCTAGCTGATTGGCCTAAGGTGCCACTTAGTTGATTGATTTGTAATGCGCACCACCTGAGTTGATGGGAAAATCTGGCTGCTGCGTGTCAGTGGAAGCTTAAAAACCCCTGACTTAACAGAAACAACCCTGACTTCAGCCAAGTGGTAGAGTTGTTGACGGAGCTGCCATTGCCCAAGGTTGGCTAATAAAGACTCCTTACATTCTACAATTGTGTCTGGTGTTACCTCTCACTCTCTGCAACATTTTGGAGACACCGGCAAGATAGAGGTCCCCAGTCAGAAGGCAGTGGCCAAACCTAGCTTGGCAGTCTGAGGAGGCCACTGAATGACCTCTTAACATGGCCTCAGCAGCTGATCCCAGCTTCCTGGCTCACAGCACTCACGCTGAATTTAGGAGGATTCAGCTGGCTGGCCTGTCACAGGTGAATTTACCAATAGTGGATTCATTGCCGTCTCTTTGTTCTTAGTTCTCGTCTGGGACTCTAAGAAGGCAGGACTCAGCACAGCTTCTTGATTCGGAGGTCTACAGGAGACGTTGCCGCGGCGCACTGTGTTGGATCTGGGTTGTGTGAATGTGGCGGCTGCTGGTGTCTGTGAGATTTGCTCTTAATTGTGTTTTGTTCTGAGTTTCATTTTTTCTTACTCTGAGATTCATTTTTGTCTAAACTTGGGACAGATTCAAAGTAAAACAGATCAGATGTTTTTAAGTCTCTTGACATATTTGGTAGGTTTGGTTCCTTTGACTTTGAGATTTCCAAGATGGGTCTCTGGAAGATCTGAAAGTGAGAGGAATGTGAAAGACGAAGCTGTATCTTCTGGTAAAGGTCACAACTAATTTGGCTGTTTGGATTGTATGTAAAGTATTGCCAAGACATGAAGTCAAGGAAACAGGCCTTGAATGAGCCCTAAAATGTAAGAACAGGGAAGTAACAATCAGGTGGTTACACTGGTAGCAAACGACTTAAACCTGATTATTCTGAGGCTGGAGCGATTAAGAATGTAGTGAGCACACCTGGAGGACACACCACAGAACGTCAACTGGCTTTGTTACATTGTCGAACATTGTGGTTCACAAATGTATGTCTCCTTGGGTTGGCATTCTGTCTTTGGAAGTTGTCAATCTGTGATTATGTGTACTTAACAAATCATGCAGCAAAATTATAGTACACCTATTTATGTAAAGCTATGTGTTACTTCCTATTGCAATAGCATGTCCCTCCCCTGTGCCTGGAACCAGCATTGTACTGACTTTCACTCATGTGCAAGCTACAGAGATCTGTGTATAAACTCCCCATTTGAAGTGCGCCACAGTAGATGTAAACACTGAATAGTACTAATTCTGGCTATCTATAATGTTCAGGCAAATGCCTCCTTCCTAAAGTTGTACTCCTGTTCACATGAACTGTTACTTCCTCAGCAACCTAGCATTATTAATCTCATCAGTCTTGCCATTGGTAATGGTTAGCCAGAGTTGGCCAACCTTTGGGAGGCCTGGGAACCAGGTCTAAAAATCTGTCCTGTTGTTAGTCAAAGTTGAAAACTTGATATATTGTTTATATTATCTTTGACTTTTTCATCTATTGCTTGTCAGAATTCTATATAAGTGCAATTGCTAGCAAGGTAATGCAGCCCTAGCACTCTCAGATGGTAACCCATGTCTGCTAGATGACAATAAGCATCAGGTGAGGTTAGCCTAAGGCTCATTTCTTCTGACACCTGTGTTGCTAAGTGTGGCTTAAAAGCGTATGTAACACTGACTCCTTGTTAGGTATTTCCCTCCCAACGTGAGACAAGATCAACAACTGGGCTAAATCCAACCTGTCAACAAGGGACGAATAGAACGTGAACATGATTGATCAGCTTTGAGTTTGGAAGTAGATCTTGATTGCCAGGAGGGCATGAAAATCTAAATGGAGTCACTGGTGTCAACCCTAAACCAAACTGACTAAAGCTGAGAGGTTATGAAGGAATGGTTCTTATGTGTAATTGTTGATGATAACTGTCACAAAAGACTGCACAACTGTACCCTCTAGAGAGGGTCACCACTTCATGATGGCTCAATGGCTAAGTCCCCTTACAAGCATTGGGATTCCATATGGGTGCCTGTTCATGTCCCAGCTGCTCTACTTCTCATCTAGGTCTTTGCTTATGGCCTGGGAAAGCAGTGTAATAATCCACAGAGGAACCCACAATATTCCTTGTGGAATATTGCTGACCATGCTTGAGTCCTAAACCTCCTAACTAGGTGGAAATCAAGGTAACAATAGATTCTACCAAAAAGATATTGTACCTCTGGATATAAGACTGAGTCAATAATTTGACTCAAGTGTCAGAACCTCAGTGGGGAATGTGGCATGGTGCAGCTGAGTGATGACACTACATGGCATTGAGCAGATACATTTTCAAAGAGGACAGGTGGGACCAGAGCCGTGGCATTGTACTAGGTTTTGAATGTGGTTAACTGCAGTTATCTGCTTCTGTAAACAGGCTTGCTAGCTGATTGGCTTAAGGTGTAAGTTGATTACCCACCAAAACTTTGGGCCTGTCACTTCAGTACAGAGGCAGGTTTAAGCTACCATTACTTATGAATACAGTATTAAGACTGAATTTAGAAAAGATTGTTTAAAGGTTAGGAAGATTCATAAATGGATGACTTACATGCATTAAGAAGGTGGAATAAGAGGACAGGGTAATAGCGTAACAGGTAAAGCCACAGTCTGTGAAAATAGCATCTGATAAAGGCACTAGTTTGAGTCTGGCCTACTGTGCTTCCACTCTACATCCTCACTAAAGTCTTGCGGAAAGCAGCATAAGATGGCACAAGTGTTTGGGCATCTGCCACCATGCGGAAGATCAGCACACAGCTCCTAGGTCCTAGCTTCAGCCTGGCTCAACCTTGACCATGGTGGCCATCTGCGGAGTAGAGCAGCACACAGAATGTCCCTTCATCTCTCCCTTTCTTTCTACAACTTTTTTAAAAAAGAAGAATGATGTTATCTAGGAACAATGAGTCTCAATTTTTGGTGAAGAAACTTAAAACTGATTCTAACTGGTGATAGGAACTTTTTACATAGAAGAAGGACTCCAATGAAACTGTCAAATACACCTTGACACCAGGATACTAAACTTCTTGCCATTGCCTATATTTACAATGTCACGATATATTTAAATAGCAGAATGGTGGACATCTGGCTGCTGCTGGACTATACCATTGTGATAATACAGGGAGAAAACTGTATGAGTGTGTGTGGGTAGAAGATGAAATCCCTGTGCCTATGGTGCCATATCTGGGAAAAGAAAAAAAAATTAAATGGAATTTTAATGTGCACAGAAATTTTAATTTGCACATTTAAAGTATACAGAAACAAGAAAGGTAGAAGAAAAATTCTTAATCATGTTCATCTAGCCATCAAATTTGTAAGTCTCTATGTAACATATTTTAATACTCAGAAAAGATAGAAATACATTTATTACTTTTTACAAGACTGTCAAAAATGCAATGGGAATCTCAGGCTTGAGATGCTTCCCAAATACTGTTGATAGGTAATGAGCATTTCCATGGAGAAGCTTCAGGTTATTATCAAATTTTTTTAGCTTCTCTTAAATCAGGTGCAAGGGCTTCATGCCTAATATTATCATTGCACTTGTAAGAATAAAAGATTTACATCTGTACAAACAACCATTATTATCCTACAGGTGAAACGTGGATACTTATGGCATTGTTGCAGATAGAAGCACTAATGTGACATTTCACTTTAATGCAAGAATAGACAGTAATTAAAGTACACTATGATGGGGGAGTGAGGCCAGCGAAGTTGGGTAACAGGATCATCCTTTGTCTACAAGTGCTGGCGTCCCAAATGGGTTCCGGTTTGTGTTCCAGCTGCTCATTCCCTTTATAGTTCTCTGTTTATGGCCTACAAAATCAGCAGAGGATGCCACAAGGCTTTTGGTCTGTGCATCCCTGTGGGAGGCCAGGAAAAAACTCCTGGTTCCCAACATGGGATCAGCTCAGTGCTAGCCGTTGTAGCCAATTGGAACATAAGCCAGTGGATGGAAGACCTCTCCCCATCTGTGCGCACTTCCCTTTCTGTGAAAAAATTTTCAATAAAAAATGAATACAGCTTTTAAATATATAAAATTTTTAAAATGGAGAACAAAACTTCACTTTAATATAGTTCTTTCAGAAGTTGTTGTGCCTAAAATTTTCCAACGGGGACATGCATACTCACAAGGAGAGAAGTGTCATGATCTTTACAGTACAATGTAGTAATGTATATTCTTACTCTCACTTTCCTTTCAGGTTAGAAACACAACATTCTGAAGAAATGAATGTTTGCAGATCCGAGGAGCAGTTCCACGCTGTAAACCACGCACAGCGAACTCTTCGTAGAATGGAGAACTACTTGAAAGAGAAACAACTTTGTGATGTGCTACTTATTGCAGGACACCTTCGGATCCCAGCCCATCGGTAAGCATTTGTTACGCAGATGAAAAATTGGTGGATAGGACAACTGTGAATAACGTAGAATTAGCACACTGGTTGGCTTTTATTTTCCTATGTTGACAAAGCATTAGTAAAGATAATAAAGTACTCTGTGAAATATTCCAAAACCGTTTTAAAAAGTACAGCCAAATATTCTAAAAGGAAAAGCTGCTCTTTGCCGTTTCTAACACAACTACACTAATTATGAGATTTTATGCAGAGAAGAGTCTTCACCACTGTTTCAAACTGGCGAATGAATTTTGTGTTTCAAGAAGATTGTGAACTGATTCAAGATCCTATAAAACACTCTTATTTCCAGGTTGGTTCTCAGTGCAGTGTCTGATTATTTTGCTGCGATGTTTACTAACGATGTTCTTGAAGCTAAACAAGAAGAGATCAAGATGGAAGGAATAGATCCACATGCACTTAACTCCTTGGTGCAATATGCTTACACAGGTAAGTGTCTGCCGTGCACGAACACTCCATATGTCTAGCACACATTAACATTACAGTTGTGACAACTGAAGGATAGATCACTGAAGAAATTTTCCTTTAACAAACAGAAAGATGGAGTGATTCACTTTCAGTAATATAAAAAATTGAGACAGATAATATGCTACAAAATAGTTTTCCCTGAGGAAAAGGGGATATTTTAATACAATTATAAAAACATGGTTCTCAGAAATGATGTGGATATTTTCTGCTTTAGTAAAAAAAAGTGGAAGAGAAATTTCCAATTGGACACTTGAGGTTTAATGAGTATCTTCCTCTGGCATAGTAAAAGTCTTATTTAGCTACACTATCAAAGCTAACAGGATGAGTAGATGAGCTTGGGGGTCCAAAAAGTATTTTGACATTTTTTTCTGTAATCATTGGGAACTTCTGCATGGGTGAGGAATATAATTTTCTTTTATTAGGCAAGTAAAAGGCAATTGTGGAAAAGACTTTGTAAAAGGATAGTGTGTGTGATAGCACCTCCTTTTGGAGTGTTTCATTCAAAAACAAGATTCATCTTTACTTGAAAGTCAGAGCTATAGAGAGTTACAGAGAGAAAGAGAGGGAGAGACAAGCAGAGAGACCTTATATCTGCTGGATCCCTCCTCAAATGTCTACAACAGTCAGAGCTAGGCTAGCCTGAAACTGCGAGCCAGGAGATTCTTCCACATCTCCCACATGGATGCAGGGACCCAAGGTCATGGGCCATCCCTTGTTGCTTTTCCATGCCATTAGCAGGGAGCTAGGTTGGAAGTGAAGTAGCTGGGACTTACACTTGAGCCCATGTGGGCTGCTAGCGTGGCAGGCAGAGGATTAAACTGATATGCCATTTCAGTGGCCACAAGTGAGTAGAGACACAGAGAAAGATCTTCTATCTGCTGGTTCGTTGCCCATATGGCTGCAATCGCCAGGGCTGGGCCTTGCTGAAGCCAGGAGCCTGGAACATCTTCTGGGTCTCCGAAATAGGTCCAGGGACCTAAGCACTTAGGCTATCCTCCAGTGGTTTTACAAGCATATTATCAGGAAGCTGGCTCCAAAGTAGTGCTTTAAAATTTAACTTATCACCACTCCCTTATTTCAATTCCCATCTTCCTTCTAACAAGGCATTACGCAGAGAGACAGAAAGAAAGATGAAAAAAAAAAAAACCCTCCTAGGGACACATTAGCAGAAAGATGGAATTGAAAATGGGGCCAAGATTCAAACTAAGAACTATGACATGGGACTTAGGAATCCCCTCAATTCTAATTTTTTTTTTTTTAAATTTCTGTTGACATTTTTAAAATGGGAAATGAGATGGGGAATTTTTGAATCACTAGTCTTCTTTTTACTTTTCTAGAATTTTATGGGCTTTATTTTTCCTAGCTAAAACATTTTAATCCTTGGAAAACATCCTTCCCTTCCTAATGAATCTGTTTTGTGAATTGTGTATGGATTAAGAGAACCTAGCATGATGGCTTGTTTATCTTTTTTTAAATATATGCTTCTTTATTTTGGAGGCCTAGAGAAAGAGCGATTGTTTGCAGCTTCTGGTTCACTTTTCATGCCTACACTTTTGGGGATGGGAGCCAGAAAGTTAATCCTGGTGTCATGGATGTCAAGGACCAAATTGCTTGAGATATCATCTGCTACCACCCAGGGTTCACAGGAAGCTGGTTTCCTCAACTAGAGCCAGAACTGACACTCAGACACTCAAATAAGGAATTTACACATTGGTCCTAAAGGCTGTCTTAAATGCTAGGCAGGGTGACCACCCCTTTTATTCTTTAACTAGATCAAACCTGTAGCCAGCTATTAACAGCCTTTAAACTTTTGCACATTGGAATAGTCATAATATGCAGATGTTTTCACAATGTATACCAGACCTTTATAATCTAAATACTCCTGTGATTCAGTTTTCCTCTTAATAGCCAGGCAAAATGTTAATATTTGTAGCAGGTGAATCCTTATATGTAAATACGAAAAGAGTTCATGCTTCTCTGGTTCTTGTGAGCCGAAAGAAGCGCTATCCTGCCACAATCTAGTGCAAGAAGCAGCACAACAAATTCTGCAGATGGACTGCATTCCTTTAGGATATAGTCTACTGGTTGAGCTAAGTGGAGAGTATCAGCTAAAGTGTGTTGTTTTCCTTATGCATATGCAATCGTATGAGACAGATATGAAAGTATTTTAGAAGTAAAAACTTTGAATAATCTGTAGCTTAAAATTACTATTTGAAACATTATTTATAAATTATGTACAACTCGACTAAAGCATTAAGTATAGACCAGCTTATTTTTTTTTAATTTCTTTATTTTTGACAATCTTTACATGGTTAGTTAGGACACAAAGGCTCAAGGGCTACAGGAAAGTGGGTAAGACTATTATTCTGGCTTCGTTTTTAAATAACAAATTCTTAATTTACTTTGTAATCACAGGTTTAATACAGCACTAGGCAGGATGTTGATCAAGAAAAAAACTGGAAAGAACAGTGTGTTGCTAAAAATAATATTCAAATCACGTCAATTTCCTTCTTATACTTCTTTGTATTCTATATTAATATCCATATGCTACAGAATACACATAATATTTGTCTTTTTAGCACTAGCTTATTTCACTAAGTGTAATGGTCTCTAGTTAAATCCATTATGTTGCACAATATCATATTTCATTCTTTTTTAAGTGAGTGATATTCTGTCATGCGTATATATACTATATACCACATTTTCTTTATCCAGTCATCGGTTCACAGGCACCTGGGTTGATTCAGTATTCAAAAGAGAGTCCTTTACTTGAAAGCAGAATTGGAGAGAGAAATTGCCCATGCACTATTTTATTTTTCAAATGGCAGCAAAGTCCAAGACTAGGCCAGGCTAAGACTGGGAGCCAAGAACTCTCCTCCCATTTCTGACATGTGAGAGGCAGGGATCTAATCACTTATGCCATCTTCCTGTGCTTTCCCAGATGCATTAGCAGGAAGCTGTATCAGAAGCGAAGCAGCTAGGGCTCAAACCAGCACTCATATGGGATGCCAGCAACACAGGTGGCAACTTAACCACCTGGGTCACGAGGCCAGAATCAGAGCTATATCTTTTAAAAAAAATAACTTACAATGTTTATTATAAATCAACAGTAACACTTGCCCCCAAATGATACAAGTATATGAACATAAAGAGACCACAAATTACTTTGGAACTCATGTCTATAAACTCATTACAGACAGTTTAAAGAGAATGTGTTCGTTTATAACAACGAAAATTAATATGCAAACAATTCATCTGTAAAATCTTTGCAGCCTTTTTTCTTTGTAAAACAAAGCCAGAGGTGAATTCCAGGAATAATATTTGAGCAGAGACATCTTTATTGGATAATAAGTATAGATAAAAAATGGAGATGCAAAATCAATGTTCTTCTTACCAAAATAATAGACTTATAATTACAGTATTCTTTATATATGCTAGAATATTTGATTCAACACAAATGACAGTTACCTGTAGGGCCAATTGTATCATTCTTGCACAATGTGACACAATGTTCCATGAATAACAAAACTATTTTTCTACCTTTATTTAAAAAGCACTCCCGGGTAAAAAATTATCTACCTATAGAATACAATGTGATTTTTCTTTTATACATAAACATTATGAAATGGTTATATAAGATCTGAATGTTGGCCAACCAAAGTTGATAAAGAAATTATTGCTTACATTGCAAGGATGGTATTTACTTCTCACGTGTTGTAGTTAATTTTGATAATCCAGATAGTTACCAACAGTCAGTGTATTAACATTTACTCAAATATTTATTTATGCATATAAACCTCAACACAAGTTCTCAAAATTGCTACTGTTCACTAAAAAAGCAGAGATTTACCATAAAGAGAACTTCTAGAGGTCAATCAGCTGTCATGTGCGTCTTATTTTATGAAATGTATGCTCATTCTTTACTTTTTGAATCATCTAGGTGTACTGCAATTGAAAGAAGATACAATTGAAAGTTTGCTGGCTGCAGCTTGCCTTCTACAGCTGACTCAAGTCATTGAGGTCTGCTCCAATTTCCTCATAAAGCAGCTCCATCCTTCAAACTGCTTAGGGATTCGATCATTTGGAGATGCCCAGGGCTGTACTGAGCTCCTGAACGTGGCACATAAGTACACCATGGTAAAAAAAAATTAATTACTTCAAATTAACTTGTGTTAAAATGTCAATGTTGTAAAAAAAATTGTAGAAATAGACATTTATGAAACTTGAAGGTGATTAGCACATCATATGTGTTACAGAAACATATTTGTCATGTTGAGCTGTACAAAAGCATATTTTTCAGGCTTTGAATAAAAAAGATTGAATTAAATCTCAAAACTTGGGGAAATAAGCACTATCCAAAATTGTGCATGTATATTTGAAACAAAATCTACACTATTAGCAGATGTTCATTACCCGATGTTTTTGCAAAATCAGAACTGCAGTTTCTAAACTGCAGAATTGCTTTAGAATTAAAATTTCAAAAATAAACAATTATTTTTCTAATGAAAATGAACTGTTCAATAAGAAAAAATTTATTGAATTATCTTTTTAATGACCTAGTAAAAACTTCTGTTTCAGTTTAAAAAAATAATTGAGCAACTTGCTCAGTATCCTAGTGGCTGAAGTACTCCCATATGGGCACCAGTTCTAATCTCGGTGGCTCCATTTCCCATCCAGCTCCCTGTTTTTGACCTGGGAAAGCAGTTGAGGACAGTTCAAAGCCTCGGGATCCTGCACCTGTGTGGGAAACCTGGAAAAGGATTCTGATTGGTGAAACTCTAGACATTGTGACCACTTGAGGAGTGAATCAGCGGAGAGAGCATCTTCTCTGTCTCTCTGTATATCTGACTTTCCAATAAAAATAAATAAATCTTTCAAAAAATTTTTGAAGCTCAATCATTTAAGCCAAACTAATAAAATCATTCTTAATTCCAATAGTAGTTATAATAAGGCGAATGAGCATGTTCATGTGTGATAATTATTTAAAAGCTACATAGGATAAAATCATCTTGCGTCATATGATAATTGCATGAAATAAACTGTTGGGAAGCAAGAAAAATTGGACGGAAGATTTTTTTTTAAAGATTTACTTATTTTTATTACAAAATAAGATATATAGAGAGAAGAGACAGAGAAATATCCTCCATCCGATGATTCATTCCCCAAGTGACCACAATGGCCGGTGCTGAGTTGATCCGAAGCCAGGAGCCAGGAACCTCTTCCGGGTCTCCCACATGGGTGCAAGGTCCCAAGGATTTTGGGCCATCCTCCACTGCTTTCCCAGACCACAAGCAGGGGGCTGAATGGGAAGTGGAGCTGCCGGGATTAGAACCTGCACCCTGGCGTATTCAAGGCGAGGACTTTAGCCACTAGGCCATGGCACTGGGCCCAGACAGAAGATATTTAAAAGCTTCCCTGATGTAAAACAGAAGACAGCGAGTGACAAAAGAAATGGAACAGTCTGTAAAATCCAATCCTAAAATAAATATCTTATGTAAAGGAAAATTAGCCCCATTACTTCAAAGTTTTTTAAACAAAAGGTAATAGCACGTAAGTGAGCAATGGAGAGTCCCATGTAAGGATAAGTAAAGCAGCACTGTAGTAGTATTTTTTGCATAGATGTTTATAAATAATGCTTCAAATTTCTAAAATTGAATTCTGTAAAAAGTTCTTATAAATCTTTTTCCCTCTGCCCACTCTGGGTCATTGTTTGAAATTTGAAGTTTCAAGGATATTCTTAAAACAATACCATTATGCAAAGAATCACATCATAATGGTTAACATCTTAAAATATGTCACTTAATTATGCTATTTATAGCCCTGTGTCCTAAATACAGATGCCACATAATCTGAAGGAACAGCCGTTCTGTAGTTCAAAGGTTAGTTCTACCACAAAAGCCAAACATGAAAATTTCCTGTTAAATTACTTAAATTCTTGAACTAAGTATTAACAGTTTCCTGTCTGGTATCTTACTCTTGCACACAAAATGCATTCTGATAAACAGGTTGAATTATTTGTGTTGCTCAAAATGAACTCGTCTTCCCTTTCCTATTATGTGACCCAAACTGAGTGTTAAAACAGGATGTGTATAAAATACAGGGCTATGGTCTTCCTTAATCCTCCTTCCTTGGTTATTTTAGTATCTATTGTGAATACAGTAAAATAGGTAAAAGTCTTGCTATAATGACACTGTCGCAATGCTGTAATGGCAGTCTAAAAGTGTGAATAACACTAATGTCTAAGAAGACAAAGGCCCTTCATAGCGTTGATCATAATCTGTAAGGCTAAAAATTATGCATGGATTTAAAAAGCTTTAGCACTAAAGGAAGCTTAACCTTTAATCCCTTTTTCTGTTAGGTTTTGGAAGTGCGCTCAAAGTGTCAAACAATTTGTGCATTTGATTATAATCATATTGCAGTTTGAGTAAAGCAGATTGCCCTCCCTAATCTTAGTGAACCTCACCGAGAAGCACCCTCCCAGAAACACTCAGAATAATGGTTGACCAAATGTCAGGACACTGCATAACCCAGTCACATCAATCATTAAATAGCTATCTGCTTGGATGAAACCTTCCACCAGGATGTTCTCCTTGTTTACTGAATTTTGAAACAATTTAGATGTAGATTTGGAAAACGAACAGTGAGGAAAGGACACAAAAGAAGGTTCGTGGAAAGGTGTATAGGAAAGTGTTTATATTCACATTAGAGGCCAAAAAAATGCCAAAATCAAAGTAAGGCTAATGTTTAAATGTTTCTCTACAGTACTATATGCTGGATGGCCATATACAGATACTTTTTATTCATTCTCATCTATTGTCCAATAATTTTCATTGCTGTCTCATCAGATAGTAATTCTAATGTCATAAAAAATGTGTCAGAAAATGTAGTTTCCAGTTGCATCTGAGTATGGGCATGATATAGGTAATTTTAATAACTTCTTAACCTTCTAAAATGCATACTTAAGTATGAAAAACGATATTATCCCCAGTGATCTTTAAGACATATGCATTGAGATTTCTCTACCTTTCATTGGTAAATACACGCAAAAGAGAATGAAATATAAGTTTTCCAAAATATTAGTGCAGTTTCAGAATCTGTATGTAATTGCAGTGATAGCTAATTGTAAGTTGTATATTAACCCTATCAGGAAAACATTTATTGTGAAAACCAATTGCAACAATTGAACTAAGTGTCACAGACTTCTAAGTAAAGACTTTGCCACTAAATTGCATAATAATGTCAAACAGCTCTTTTCATCTACTTTTTCGTGGAGCAGTTGTACTTTTCACAAGTCTACAGTGCTGCTGACTTAATTTGAAATAATTTGGTAAAGTGTGACATGCTGTGCAAGTACATGATAGTAGTAGACATAGTAATGGTATTAGCATTATATATCAGAGGATTATCAACCATAGACTTCTGCTACAATAAGAGCAGCAGTTTTATCTCAGTTGTTTATCTTAATTCCAGAAGGATTGTTTGTCTAAATAGGCAAGTTAGTTTGGACCTCAGGACATTAGAGTTTAATTACTGATATGTGTATCAGCTCTGGTGATTGCTATGTGGATAATTTCACTATTAGCCTAACTCAATTCTGCAATGACTAAGTCAAGAGCAGAACAGAAGGAGTGATTTGATTTTTCCAGAGGCCTCAATAAATCAGAGGCTGTCTTAAATGGCTCCCCAAGAATATCTGATTATTATACAACATTGTGTAGTAAACATAATTATCTCCATCTCTGAAGTATATTTTGTGCATGTAGGAGATATTCACTGTGAAAACTTACAGAAATGATCATTATGTTGTCAAATAAGAGTATATAAAATTATATACTGGAAAATATGTGGAATTTAAGAAAAAATTACTGCTTTTTGCAATTTGATGCTTGAAAAAATGAAATACAACGATGAAAGAGAGAATTGAAATGTATAAAATGTAAATTCAGAAACACCCCATAGAAATCCCTTTTCTGTACTGAATTTGTAAATTGTGATCCATTTTAAAAGGATCTGTTTCCCTTTGTCAATAGATGAGTGTTTTCCCTAAGAGTTATTCAGCAATCTCTTTCACTCCTCTCGAAAAATTCAGTCTGATGTCTCTTTAAATGCATGGCCAGAAGTAATTCACCCAGGCCTCCAAGATAGAAACCACTTCTAAAATTCCGTATGTTCTTTTAGGGGTTTGGCTAAATACCAACAGTATGGTCAGCTCTGGTTGCCTCGCTGTTGTCCCACATAGCAGCTGAGAAGAAAAAGCACCGTATGGGGTAAAACATTCTGCTCACGTGGCCTATGAAAGAGTTAAGTGTTTTCCTTACGCCAGAGAAAGAATTCCCAGTGGAAGTATTTAATCCTTCAACTTCAGAAGGCTTCCCGTTCTCCTGTGTGCAATAACACATACTATAAATAGATAACTATGTCTTTCTGCCATTTTCTGATGTTTCAGTGAAATGTTTTAATATACTTACTTTGTTAAGAAGGTTCTAAAGTATAAACTTGGACTGCATTTCCTTCCTTTCCTAGGAACACTTCATTGAGGTAATAAAGAACCAGGAATTCCTTCTACTTCCAGCCACTGAAATTTTGAAACTTCTGTGTAGTGATGACATTAATGTGCCCGATGAGGAAACCATCTTCCATGCTCTAATGCAATGGGTAGGACATGATGCTCAGACTAGGCAAGGAGACCTGGCAATGCTGCTTTCCCATATCCGACTGCCATTACTTCCACCACAGGTATGGAAATGTACCCAGGTAATAGAATTAGAGTTTTAAACCACCACAAGGCATTAATCCATTCCTTATTCGCTTAGTTAATCAGAGAGTATTTCTGGTCATTGAAATGTTCAGTGGTTGCTTAGCAGAGGGATCTGTCCAACCTTAAATTAGAGGCCTTAGTAATGGAGAAACAGGAAATGTGGATTAGAAAATAATTGCAGATGATCCCTAAGGCTTGCTCTTTCATCAAAGTACTTTTCACAAACAGGCAAAAGGACTAAGCCAACTCTTTTTCTTCCGAGCCCATTTTCTGGGCCAGGTGTTAATAAGTACTTGAGCCTTCCTAAGGAAACCCTATGAAGGAGTGATATCCTGGATAACACCTGCTACCATGAGTAATTGTCTGCTGTCATTGAAATCATGTTATACTTTTCAGATGCACCAGAGTAGCACTGTAATGGCAGCCTCCTGCTGCATTCTAAACTGTTGAATTATGACAACGATGATTTTCAATAACTATCGGGGATAAGATACAAGTTTAACTCACCTCAAGTTAAAATTTAGGATCTGAGGTTTATAAGTGCTGTGTAGTTTTGTTGTAGTTTTTGTTGTAGTTTTGTTGTAATTTTGCTGTAGTTTTGCTGTAGTTTTCCTCTAGTAAATTAATGAGTAATAGATCTAATTTACACTATATAGTTACGTATGCATATAAATATGTTGAACATATGTATTCCAGATTTATTTAGTCTGTACTAAATTTTCAAGTCTCATGTAGTTTAAACAGAAAGACTTTGGACACACTGGATCATAGTTTCATTTTTAGTTAGAATGCTAATTAAATGTTAATTCTTAAAATAGATTACTGATTTGCTTATGATTTTCAACATATAATGTATTTTTCTAACTTTTAGCAGTTAATTAAATTCCCTAGAATTATATACTTAAGAATGAATACCATGCATTACTGGCAGATCTTAAAAACATTCTAAAGTAGACCCCCTGATATTAAGTATATATACATATTTGCTATAGTCATATTTTACTGTTTAATTGATTCCCTAATCATTACATAATGCCATTCTTTGTATCTTTTAAAAGTTTTTGTATTAAAGTCTGTTTTGTCTTATGTGAGGATGGCTATACTTGCTCATTTTTGTTCGCAATTAGCATGGGATATCTTTCCCTATCATTCCATTTCCAGTTTGTACATATCTTTTTCAGTGAGTTGTGTCTCTTGTAGGCAACAAATATAGGGGTCTTGTTTGTTAACCCACTAAATCTGTATCTTTTAATAGGAGAAATTGATTGGGTCCTGCAATTTTTCATAAATATTCCTGTTGTGTGCTTTGTTTTTCCTTTGTTCTTATTAGGAAATTTTCTGCCTTAAAGTTGTTAATGTGATGACTGTCTTTCTCTGTTTCTGTGTCTAGTACACCCTTGAGTATCATTTGTGAAGCTGAATGAGTAGTGAGAAGTTCTTCCAATTTCCATTTGTTTTGGAAGGCCTTTACTTCATCCTAATTTGGGAGAGCTTTGCTTGGTACAGTATTCTGGGTTGACCAATTTTTCTTTTAGCACTGGGACTATGCCTCTCCATTTTCTCCTAGCCTATAGGGTTTCTGGTGAGACATCAACTGTCAGTCTAATTGGAGATCTTTTGAAGGTAATCTTATATATATTTTAGAGTCTTCTTTATGCTTTGGAAAATCTGACTTATGTGTTGTGAAGATCGTTTCTGATTATGTCCCTTTGTTCTATGTGTTTTCTGTATTGGGATTTCACTATCTTTCTCAAAATTAGGGATGCTATCTGCTATTTTTTGGTTGAATGGATCTTCTAGCCCATTTTCTCATTCCATACATTTGGGGATTCCTAAAATAGGTCATTTCATCCTATCCTATAAATATCAGCACACAATTTTTAGTTTTTCTAATTGTCTTCCTTTTTTTTGTCTGAGTAGGATATTTACAAAAATTATTCTTCTAGTTCAGACACTGTTTCTTCTGCCTCATCAAGTTTGTTTTTTTTGAGATTTGCCATTATGTTTTGTATTTGGCATATTTAATTCTTCATTTCAAATATATTTTTATTTTTGTTCAATATCATAATATATGTAAATTTTTATATTATCTCAATTTGTTTCTGTGTGCTTTTAGTAATCCTGTGATCTTTTTTCCATTCATTTTTAGCCATTTTGTCAGCCTATTTATCTTCACTTCAAATATTAAAGAGTTGATGTGTTCCTCTGGGGGGGTCATATTTTGTCTTCCTTGTTCATGTTTCTTGTATTTCTGTTTATCTTTAGGCATTTATGCAAACAATTGTTGATTTTATCCTCTAGTGGCTTTTATTTTTAAATATACCTCTGTTTTTAAAAAAAGAATATATACCTCTGTGGTTCAGTGTAGTGTTTGTTTTTACAGTGAATATCTAGAAAAATGTGCTGGGTGTGGCCAGGGAATGCTGAGCAAATTTTGACCATGGGGAAAGATGAGGGTGACATCCAAGTAGGGTGTGTTAGTTCTCTGGTTTCAGGATGGGGGGATAAATCACATCAGTTGCTTGATCACAATCAAACCTCCTCTGTGCCAAAGAGATCGATGCCAGAAGTTAGCCCAAAGTGGCTACAGAGTCCACCCTCCCAGGCACATGAGCCACACAAATGATCTGCGTGATTCTCAGTGACACCTTGGAATCCTTTGCAATGACCCATTGCAGAAACTAGGTGGACGCTTAGCCTCTGAAACCAGACAAAGCATTTGTGCAGAGACCCAGCTATACATTATGGCCTGTTGTGCTGTCACAGAATTCCCATAGTCAAAGCACGTAGGGCTCTCACAGTCATTGTGAGCAGGACATTATCACTCAGAACCTTCTGAGTCTATCCCATCTGCGGAGAGCCGGGCTTTCCCAAAGCCAGCTGCCTATTACTGGTCCATCTTGGTAGTTTGAGTCCAGGTGCCCGTGACAGGTGAGAGGAGGGGAGTGCTTTACAAGCCTACCTTTCAGTATAGACTCAGACACTGTGAGGACTGTGGATTCGTCGCTCTGATAAAATCTAGTTGAACGTCTTGTGCAAGCTACAGTCGCTTCTACTCACATTATCAACATTGCACTGAACTTCCTCCATATGGTCTCCAGGCATCTTGAGCAGAAGAGATGGGAAAAAAAGCAATGTTGTCTCTCTCCCCAGGATTAGGTGGCCACCCCAGTTCAGGCTGGACTCAAGGTCACTGAAGTCTGCCATTGCAACTATCCTTCAGACATCACCTCCAGTGACACAGGCTTCCACTGACCCAGCTCACCTCACTCCAAGAAGGCTTTTTATTCAGCCACTGGCAGGAGTCACTGGTGTCCCCACTCATTGCTGTGTGTTGGTAGTGTCCAGACAGTTCCATGGCACCTCTCTTCTTTAGTATTTCCACTACAAACTTCTGTCCAACTCTTTCCTGAGAATACACGTCCTCTGCTTTTCTTCTGTTATCATCCTATGATCAAAATCAGCATGTCTCCCCTACTCAGCCATATTGGATCCTCTCTTTTACTGTAACAAAAGGAATTTCCAGCCCAATTACCAAACCAGTGGTATGTTAGCATCTCATATGGAGTTTCCCTTCTGCTTGGAATGTGAATTGTGTGAGCTTTTCATGACAATTGCTGTATTTAGCAAGTGTAATCTTTTCAGAACAAATGTACCTTAAGCCAGTATTTCAGAAATGAAATCAATGAGGAGAGTGGGGATGAATCGGTAGTAAATATTTTAGAAAATGTTACATAGCTTAACTTTAAAATATGTTTCTAAAAGCCTATGCATTAAGGTAATGACTTACCTTAGTTTAAGTTCATCAGGCAAGTCAAAATAGTGATTTAATTGAGATGACAGGTGGAGTGGGAACAAAGATGGAATAAGAGTAACCAGTGCACAACAGGGAAGTTTGGAGCCATTTTAAGCAAGTGAAATTAGCACTTACATCCCAATCAGCTGCTTGCTATTCTTCTCAAGGGCCAATCATAAAGTGGACCCAACATTTCAAGGGAAGCAGTCTGGCTCTCAAAAACATTCCTAAACATATTCTTGACTTCAACTCATCCCAGGAAAAATGCTTTTCCTAGATTTGATCATTTCAGTTACAATGCTGTTGTCTGCCAGATAATGATAGTAAGAGAGCACTTTTGCTGCTATGTTAGCTAGTTACAAGTACATATGCATTAATCCAATGTTTTAAAGATGTATTATATAATATTGCACAAAAATGATTTCACAATAAAGATGCAGTTCCACATCGGTGATATTGTTTTAAATATGTATGTTTGCATGACTACAGCCACTACCCCCAACATACCTCCTCAAAGGTGCCAGCTTGCAGCAGCTACATATAGTATGCTGGAAGGTGCTTGCTGCGTGCAGACACAGTTGTTCTATGTGATTGTTTTCCATAACATTTTTGTGGATGCTTTTACATTACTTCAAATTACATATGTACATCTTTGTATGATGAGCAGTGTGGCAAATGAACACATCATTAGTAACATGCAGGCTTTTGCTCATTTCAATAAAATAAGTGAAAAATACAAATTCTAATGTAAAATCTTAAATAATCAAACTTGCATATTTCAGTTAGGTCCAATTTTCTCCAGACTTATATAAACAACAGTACGTTCTTTTTAATGGTGATCTCTTGACTCACTTGCTTTTCATCATTCCTTTTCAGTTGTTGGCAGATCTCGAAAACAGTTCCATGTTTAGTGGTGATCTAGAGTGTCAGAAACTACTGATGGAAGCAATGAAATATCATCTCTTACCTGAGCGGAGACCTATGATGCAAAGCCCTCGGACAAAACCTAGAAAATCAACTGTGGGGGCCCTTTATGCTGTGGGAGGCATGGGTGCTCTGAAAGGTAAAAAACAAACTACTTCATTTAGAAAGTATCTTTATGCAAAATAGGAAAGATATCTTGAACTCTTTCTTAATTGATAGAGTTGTATTAAAACCATGTTAAATGAGTGCATTTTTAATTTCCATAAATAGTATGCTCTATGACATTTTCTGACCTCAGTATTTTTTTTTCATTTTATGGGACATAATCCTTTAATTTGTGCTGCAGAAACACTTAATAGGTCCTTATTTTTAAAGGAAGCAATTTTAAATCTCAACATTTGCTCTGCAATATTAACTCTTTTCAAGGGCTATTTAATTTAGAGTTTTTTCATAAAAGGAAAGAAATGAGGCGGTCCAAATGTGTTTTTGACTGAAGCAGAAGAATGGTCTGTAACTTGCTATTAGTTTCCTACTTGATATTTAAATACCAGTCACAGTAATTCTTAAAGTGTTGCTAACAAGATCACCAATGCAAATTTGGGATATAATTGCATTCTTAAACTAAGAATGAATCAAATGGAATAGAGAATGGTCTTTTAAGCCATCATCTCTGAACTGAACTCTTCTTAGGATCTTTTTTTTTTTCTATAGTTCTATCTCATTACATTTGATTTCTTAAATTGTTTCTAAAACAAGGAGGAAAGAATTTTACAATTAGGAGTTTGTCGTATAGAAAGCAAAGCTGACATAAAGATAAATGTACAAGTTCAAGGACTTTGAATTTAAATGTAAGTATAATTGGGTGTGATTTATTAGTTACTATAATTACTACAAATAGACTGATATGAAATTTAATGGGAGAAGAAGAGTGTGTAGAACATGGTACTATTACATAATTTTTATTTTATAAATTTAGAACTATTATGAAATAAAATATTTAAAAGACAGTAAATGCATAGATTAATCATACACAGAAATTTCATTAGATGCCTTACAGAAAAATCATATGAAAATCAAAGTTTTATACTAATGGAGACCTATTTCCTTTAACATGTATAAATGGAATTTAAAGAATATATAGGAATTATATTAATTAATCATACATCTTATCTCATTCTATTTTCTGGTGCTATAACAAACTAGGTGACACTTGACATTTGGTAGATTTGTTTTTAAGATTTATTTATTTTTTTTATTGGAAAGGCAGATTTATAGAGAGAAGGACTGACATAAAGATCTTCCATCCAATGGTTCACTCTTCAAATGGTCACAATGACCAGAGATGAGCTGATCTGAAACCAGGAGCCAGGAGCTTCATCCAGGTCTCCCACGTGAATGCAAGGGCCCAAGTTTTTGGGCTGTCCTGGACTGCTTTCCTAAGACACAAGCAGGGAGCTGGATGGGAAGTGGAGCAGCCTGGATGAAACTGGCTCCCAGATGAGATGCTGGCATGTGCAGTTGGAGGATTATTTAATTGAACTATCACCCAAGCCCCATATGCTGCTTTTTCCTTAATGCCACTAATAAAAAGGAAATTAAAATAGTGACAAAATTAATTTCCTCCTCTTTAATGATCTTCCAATCATTTGCAAAACCAAAATACACTTAGGATTAAAAAGACTAATGAATAACATATTAAAGTAAACAGGAATAAGAAAAATATTGAGCAAAACAAAGAGGATAATGTTTGCAAAAACAGTATTACATTGAAAAAGTAGACCACTTCATAGTCTTTCACAAAACCACAGCTAAAAATTCCCACATGCATGCCTTTTCTTATGTGTATTGTTTCATTTTTTAAGATTCTTTTTGAACTTTTGTATTTTGATGTCTAGAAAATACAGTACTTCCTCAGACTTTAGTTTCCTCTCTGACTCATACAATAAAGTCAGCTCCTGATGTTAAAAATAGATGTCACACAAATGGCTGGAGTAAGCTATAACTCCTACAATGTATCAAAAAATAATCATCAGAAGCATCTAAGTATGATCAAAGTCAAAATTTAAAAGTGGTCAAATGATAAATCTTGAATGTTTCGCACATATAAACTAGAAACTATTAAAAACAATTATTTTTGAAAGGCAGTATATCAGGCAAGGATGTAAAAGCTAATTTGAAGCATTTATAAATAAATATGTTCAAAACTATTGTGTGCACAACTCTGCACTTACTGCCACAGCAATTCAGCAGTTCGGTGGCTTTTGTTCTGTGTTGAACAGATGATAAGTGGGTATTAAGAGTTTAGAACTGAATTGATGCACAATATGTGCAAAACATCAAAGCTAAAAATCAGTATTAAAAAACAAAACTTCTAAAACAGTTGATTAAGGACCATAACACTAATGCACCAAATATTTCTGAAGAAAAGCCAGCAGAAAACCAGAAGATAGGATTATGAATGTTTTTAGCAAAACACATGCTAAATGTTTGAAGGGATAGTTATAGTTATCCCACTTGGACATTAGCAGTGTGTACATGTGTCAAAACTTCACATGCTACTCCATGTGGATGTCCAACTTCTGTGTTGTTCTTAAATTTCTTGATAAAAATAAAAGCATAGAAATGCAAATATCTGCTTCAGGTTTTGCCACCAGTCATAGAGCTGTGATAGTAAACCAGCCTAAGGATTTGCATTTGCATTAGTTGAAGTTTTGGTGGGGGTGGGCACAGGGCCCTGAAAAAAATCAAAAATCAAGATTTTATAGTCATAAATGCCTGTGGTGGCAAACGAAGAAATGCATGATAATTCCCCCCCATATTACTATAATGATGAGAAAATTAATCTGGCATGAAGCAGATTTCTATATCTTGCAGTATAAATCTAAATATGGCTGATTAGTATAACTTGGTGTAATTTCCTGACTAATTATTTCACCATTATTATTTCTATAATTCTTATAATGAGTTTGGTGTAACTTTCATTTACTGATATAAATTGGTTCTTTGGTGAAACCCACTAACAAAGAGAAGTGAAAATTAAAATCAATAGCAGCAGTATGAAGACAGAATTGGAGTGACAGGCACATGTTCAGAGATATATGTGGATGCAAACAGAATGAATAGAGATAAGAGTTTGTTTTTTTTTTTTAAAGATTTATTTATTTTTATTGGAAAGGCAGATATAAAGAGAGGAGGAGAGACAGAGAGGAAGATCTTCCATCTGATTATTCACTCCCCAAGTGAGCGCAATGGCCGATGCTATGCCGATCCAAAGCCAGGAAATTCTTCCGGGTCTTCCACAGGGTGCAGGGTTCTAAAGCTTTGGGCTGTCCTGGACTGCTTTCCCAGGCCACAGGCAGGGAACTGGATGGGAAGTGGAGCTGCCGGGATTAGAACCGGCATCCATATGGAATACTGGTGCGTTCAAGGCGAGGACTTTAGCCGCTAGGCCATCATGCCAGGCCCTGAGATATGAGTTTGTAAACGTTCATGTCTTGATGGTTTTGTCTGAAGGTATTTAATACAGAAAAGATAGATGATCTGATTTAGCCTCTCAGTAGCAAATACCATCAACAGAACAGGACCTGATTCATAAATTGGAATTAAGCCAAATCCACATTATCAGTGAAATATGCAGCAGTAGAAGAGGAATAAGTATGTTTCTGTGCATTCTGAAAATTTGAATGTGAAAATTCAAAATCTTGAGACAGGGCCCGGCGCGATGGCCTAGCAGCTAAAGTCCTCACCTTGAATACACCAGCATCCCATATGGATGCCGGTTCTAATCCCGGCAGCTCCACTTCCCATCCAGCTCCCTGCCTGTGGCCTGGGAAAGCAGTCCAGGTCAGCACAAAGCCTTGGGACCCTGCACCCATGTGGGAGACTCGGAAGAAGTTCCTGGTTCCCAGCTTTGGATCAGCGCAGCACCGGCCATTGCGCTCACTTGGGGAGTGAATCATTGGACGGAAGATCTTCCTCTCTGTCTCTCCTCCTCTCTGTATATCTGACTTTCCAATAAATAAATAAATCTTTAAAAAAAATCTTGAGACAAACAATTGTCATGAACTCTCCTCTGGTCATGATATAAAATTAGAGCAAGGAAACAAAATACTGGTTCTACTATCCTGAGACAAACTTTCAGAAGCAGCACAGATCTGATACATACTTAAATCTTCTTAAATTTTGACTTGATACAGCCCCATATCACAGAATTTCAATTGGCAACACATATGCTTCCTATGATATGTATTTTTGTCATAAGCAATGCATTATGTCCATAATTTTCCCAGTAAAGGGAAAATGGGGATGTGTTTTTGTACATTTCTGTGTTTGAATTTGCAAAACTAGTATTAAACTCCCAAATCAGTCACAGGTCATTTTACGTATAGTATGGTGTGAACAGTAATTCTATCATTTCACACCTTGCTTATCAGGTAGGAACCTTCCTCTATAGAAACAGCTATGATGAATAACTGAAAGAATTGCCTGTAACAGTTTATTTTGGCAGTTTTAAACTTGATGTTTTGGTAATTGAGTCTGAAGTAAAATATTGTTAGTACACACAAAAAGTAATACCTCAAAGTTTTATACTCTTACCTAAGATCCTTTGCATTATCATCATGGAAGATTATGTAAATAAATGCTACGAGCCCAATAAAACAAGTTTTAGCCTTAAATCTTTACTCATTTGTCTTTTAAATACATGCACACATACCTCTCAAGCAAACACAATGAAAGAACATAAGTTAAAATGCTAAATGGTCATGAGTGATTGGAACTACATGAACAAGTAAATACTTCATAGTAAAATTTAGCGTACGTATTTTGTCATGAGAGCTTCTGTTGAACACTTTTGTGTTAGCATTTCTGGTTTATAGACAAAGAAGGGATTATGATTACATAAATTATAAAGAATACTGCATAACCTACTTTGTTCTGACTCTACCTCTTGGATCAAGAAGTGGTAAAATATTGCCAGGATGCAGAATCCTCAGTGTGCTTAATCTAATTTTCAACCACTGATATTACACTGTAAGGAAATGATGCTCAAATATAATGGGAACGGTTCCAATTCAAAATTGTAATGCAAGTTGTTTTATCATTGTTCAAAATCACTTTAACAGGTACCACTACAATTGAAAAATATGATCTCAGAACCAACAGCTGGCTGCATATTGGCACTATGAGTGGCCGTAGATTTCAGTTTGGAGTTGCGGTTATTGACAATAAACTTTATGTTGTGGGAGGAAGAGATGGTTTAAAAACATTGAATACTGTGGAATGTTTTAATCCAGTTGGCAAAATCTGGACTGTGATGCCTCCTATGTCAACTCATAGGCATGGTTTAGGTAAGAACATCATGTTACTATGGTTTCTTGACAAGGTATGCTTAATTGAGATTTTTTAAAAGATTTACTTTTATTAAAAACACAAATTTACAGAGAAAAAGGAGAAGCAGAGAAAGATATTCCACCAACTGGTTCAGTTCCCATGTGGCCACGATGACTAGAGCTGAGCTGGTTCAAAATCAGGAATCAGGAGCCAGGAACTTCTTCTGGGGCTCCCACATGAGTGCAGCACCCAAGTACTTGAGCCATCCTCCACTGCTTTCCCAGGTCATAAAAAGAGTGTTGGATGTGGAGTACTTGAGACATGAACCAAAGGATTCACCTGTCCAGCCACTGTGCCAGCCACTTGAGTTCTTAAAACTTAAACTGTTGTGCACTCCTGTTATTTAGTCAAATCTTAAGCAAAAATGTTTCTAAAATGGTTAAGAGCTGAAACACATTGTAACAATCTGATTTTTTTTCCTATTGCAGATGTCATACTTCTTATTGCTGTCTACCTTGAATATTTGAAAGGAGTTCCATTTTAGAAAGGAGAACAGATTTTAGAAGGGATGCCTGAGAGAACTTCAAAATGTTAATGGAAAATGCATACTCTGAAAAAAATTACAATGCATTCATTTTAAAATTCTCACACCAAAATGAATGTACCTTTCAATTCAAAATTTTCACAATCTTTTTAAAGTATCCTCATATTGTGAGGAATATATAACTATGAGCAGTTGTCTTCTAAATTCAAGTTAGTGAAAAACGAACTTACTGTTGGACACATATTGTTCTAGTTGGATAAAAAATATACCTTTCAACAGGAAGGAAATTTGTTTCAGTGAAAGTTTTAGGATATATATAATATTATATATTATATGTTTTATATTAGATATTAGATATTATATCATTTTATATCATATATAATAATCATGTGATTATAATATGTAATATATGTAGCAAATATAAATATATCATATCTTATATATTACACATGATATGTGATATATGATGTGTCATATATTATATATCACATATTATATATTACACATATCATATATTATTTATCACATATATCACATATCACATATGTCATATCTTACATATTTCATGTTACATATCACATGTATCATAAATCATATCACATGTCATATATTACATATACTGTATATTACATGTTACATATGACACATATTACATATGCCATACATTACATATTACATAGATCATGTATATTTCATGTATCATATTTAACATATTACATGTATCATAAGTCACGTATTACATATGTCATACATTGCATGATAAATATGTCATATATCACATATATATAACATATTGCATGTGTCATAAATCATATATTACATATATCATATTTAACATTACATAAATCATATTTAATATATTACATATATATGATATATTGCATATACCATATATGACATATTACATGTATCATAAATCATATATTACATGTATCGTATATCACATGCCCCATATGTCACATATTACATATATCATATTGCATATATTATATATTATGTATTGCATATATAATACATTATATATGTCATATATGGTGTATGTTATTGTATATGGTACATGTTATATATAATATGTCATATATTATATGTATTTTATATTATATAATATATTATAGTATTATACAATATAATTAATCTTATTATATTATAATATGATTATACAATATATATTCTCTAGATAGATAGATACGTGAAAACAACTTTGACTGAAAAGCTCTAAGTTTTACTCAACTCAGCAGATCCCAAGAATTTTTTAAAAAGATGGAGTAGGGCTTTGGGGACATAGACAAACTGATTCTCCTGAATAATTTCCAGGGTACATCTCTGCTCATACTAGCCCCCATTTGTTTTCATTACATATTTGTTAAACAGAAAAAATTACATTCATTAAGAATTGCTTTTGCACAGCTGAATAGCAGCAGATTAAGGACCAGCATTGTTTTCTCCAATTATTGTGATAAATTTTTTCTGCCAAATGACACTATACAATTAGTTCAGTTGTGTCAGTATAATTCCTACTCATAACTTAGAAAGCAAATCCTACAGAGAAAAAAATAGCTAGCTTTTCCCAAATCAATGTTAGTAAATAGTTAAGAGAAGGGATGAGGATATATCACCAAGAGGCCGATTGGAATGGTAAAGAAGGTAACGGCAAAAGGCAATTATGTGAATTCTCAGAGAAGAGAAACACAAAAGGACTATTAATAATATCTAATAGAACAAATTTCCAACTCAACCTCATGAAGACCTGTCTAGTTATTTATATCACACGAATCTATTTTGTCACTGTATTTTTAATATGATTGTAAAGGTTTACTATAGTCAGCCTACAATTCTAAGGTATAGCTTAGAACAAATATCACATCTTACCTACCCTGTACATAAAATTTAAAAAACTACATTGAAATTATACCAGCGAAAAAAATGCAGCTTCCCATTCTTATTACATACCAACAAAAAAATCCGCTTCACTACTTCAGATGACTTCAGTGCAATGAGGATGATACTTTTGATTACCACAGTTAGGACACAGTTTCTAGGGGGTTGGAAGAACATATTTAACTATATAGCAGACTCACAAAATACTTTCGGTATTTCAGAAGCAAAACACAAATTTTCCATTAATCAACTGCTTACAAATGGAAGCAGTAGTCACTCTGTGGAATACTTGGGTGATCCCATATAGTGTTTTTATTCTTTAGGTGTAGCCACACTTGGAGGACCAATGTATGCTGTAGGTGGCCATGATGGATGGAGTTATCTAAATACTGTGGAAAGATGGGATCCTGAGGGACGCCAATGGAATTATGTGGCCAGTATGTCAACTTCTAGAAGCACAGTTGGTGTTGTTGCATTAAATAACAAGTAAGTCCAGACATGCATGCTTTCTGCTTCCCAGCTAGTATAGTACGGATCTTTGGGAACATGATCCATTTAAGCCAGGCCATTCTTGCTATCAATGATGAAAAACCTTTTTCTTGTTTGTTTTGTTTTGCTCTTTGTGAATCCTCCACTTGCTATGCTGGGACTCTTTCCTGTCAAAGAATCAAAGTACATTTCTGGGACCAGCAGCATTAATGTTGCTTGATAGCTCCTCAGAATTACTGAATCTTGGACAGGCCCCCAATTTTCTGAATCAGAATCTTCATTTTAACAAGTTCCGTGGGTGACTTATGTCCCTACTAAATATGAGAGGGGGATTTTTACTCAAATGAATTAGTTTGTAGTCAAACCGATTCTAGTTTCCCTCCAAGAAACTACAACTTCTCTCATTAACTTAATCTTAATTCATCAAAACTGGTTTGAGAGTATTGATAACAAGGAAAAAGGCTTTTTTTAAAAAAAAATCATCTCTCTCCTGAGCAAACATGTAGTTTCCCACTGTAGAATTCTACCTAGTTTTACCTTCTTAAATATTCAAATTTATGACTTGCTGAGTTGGAGTCTATGTGACAAAAGTAAGATATATATACTAAAGCATGGTGATATTAGAGGTTCCTGAGAGCTAAAATTAAGCAACTAATTATATCCTGTCCAGACATGGGAACCTTTGGGACAAATGCCAGAATATAAGAGGGATTTGAATGATAAGTTTCAAACATAGGATCAGGTAGTGGCAAAAGACAGTCTTATGTGTGTCTGCATTTAACATGGCTAGAGCCAATCTCCATCACAGAATTTGGCTCAGTAGAAATTTCAGCACATACTTGCTTTGGCATCTCACGTAAGAATAAACAAGAAGTATCTATAGTTAATGAGATTTGTAATGCTTTAGGAATACACTCTCAAATTTGACCATCTCTGCCCGCTTTTTAATGATACCAGTTGATTCAGCAAGGTCATCCTCTGTCTATTGTTGAACAGTCTGAAATCATCAAATTGGACTTAATTATGCTTTGTTAGGTTGCTATTCTTAAAAATTTAGCATGAAAAGCAATTACAGATACATGATTGATATTTATCTTCTTTATTCATGTAAAATTAATTTAAAAGTATGTTAAAAATACTGCCCATCAGAAGATTTAGCATTTCAAATTTTGAGAAATGCAACAACAAATATCTCTTTCAAGGAAGGATTCAGTCTCTAGATTTTGATTCCTTAATTTATTCTGTGAATGCCTCCTTACTAATACTATTTTTGCCCTAAATAAATTTGTGAAAACAACAGGGATTCTGATTTTAGGTATTGTACCTGGCTATAATTTTAACATTTGGGGGAACTATTTTACCACCTTATTTGAAATACTGTTCTTTTCTATATGCAGTATTCCCCATGAAATAATTTAATTTATTGTGCCAAAGTAATTTAACAAAACAAATGAAGGAGGGAGTACTTAGGTAGAGTAGTTTGAACAAATCTCTCCTATCTCTCTGTACCTTAGCAAATTTGGGTTTTTTACTACAAAACAATGAGGAATGAGAGCCTAAAAGCAGAAATTTCAGAAATTTGAAATGCTTTTTGTAAATTTCTCACGTATTCATTGTATGCATTTTCTGTACATATACACACAGTTTTACATTCTTTTTTTTCTCCCCACAGATTATATGCTATTGGTGGACGTGATGGAAATTCCTGCCATAAATCAATGGAATGCTTTGACCCACACACTAACAAGTGGAGTCTGTGTGCTCCAATGTCCAAAAGACGTGGAGGTGTGGGAGTTGCTACACACAATGGGTTCTTGTATGTTGTAGGGGGTCATGATGCCCCAGCTTCTAATCATTGCTCCAGGCTTTCTGACTGTGTGGAAAGGTAAGATGTTCCTATTTATTCATGCATGTGATGATGTCATTACCTTTTTTTCAGAAATGAAACATTTTTGAACTGGCGAAAAGCAGACTTCTACCTAAGTGTTAATCTTAGTGGACTCGTTCTTAAATTTTATGCTTAATCTTAAGCCCAACATATTTTGGAAAAATTTCTCCTTGTTCACTTAGATCCAGAGTAAATGTGTGTGTGTGTGTGTTCTCTCAAGGGCATTCTCTCATTGTGCCACCGCAGGTTAACTTGTCACTGGTAATGCCCACAGGCCATACTAGGTGTTCTTCACATGTTGACTACACTGCTTCAGATCCAGCTTCCTGGTCATGTATTCTGAGAGGCAGAAGGTGATGGCCCAAGTACTTGCATCTCTGGAGGCCTGAATGGAGTGCTTGGCTCTTCTTTCTTCTGGCACAGCCTTGGTTGTTGTGGGCATTTGACTGCAGCTGCAGATGGAGACTCTCTCTCCCTGTCTTTGCCTTTCGCTTTGTCTCTCTGCCTCTTTGTGCACGCGTGTGTCTTCCCTCTCTCTACCTATCTCTTTGTCTTCCAAACAAATGGACAAATAAGTCTCTAAAAATACTAAGACAAATGATGAAAAGTGAGGCAGTTTTGTGCTGAGGTATATCATGCAATCCAATCAAAGACTCAAATGAACATATGTCTACTTCTCCCATCCAAGCACTAACCAGGCCCGACCCTGCTTAACTTCCAAGATCAGATGAGATCGGGTGCGTTCAGGGTAGTATGGCTATAGACTATATGTCTACTTCTAATCTCAAGTCATCTTTCAAAGAGAGGACTAAAACATAAAAAGAAATATTCCAAAATACATGTTAATAATCTTGTGAACGATGACTCTGGTGCAGTAAGTATTTTGTGAAGTATTGTCTCTTTGAGGTTGTGATTTGCTTTTGCTGCAAGGATAGCGGTGTTGATTATCAAATACTATTGGCCATCTATATATCTTTGTTTAGTGTAATTCCTTTATTTGAAAAGCATAGAGACAGAGAAAAAGAGAAGGTGTTCTTATCTGCTGGTTCGGTCTCCCAAATGCTTACACACAGCTGAGGCTGGGCCAGGGCTGAAGCCTGGAGGTGAGAATTCAGTCCAGACCTTCCATGTGATTGATAGGGGCCCATCTACCTGATCCATCACTAGCATGTCACTATCTCTCAGAGTGTGCATTAGCAGGAAATTGGAGTGAGGAACCAGAGATAAATGTGGAAGTCAGGTACTCTGATGTGGGATACTAATGTCCAAACCAGTAGGCTGGAAGTCTAGTCACTCTATATATTCTTTAGAAAAAAGATAAAGAACTTTATCATTCAACAGCAAAAGACAAGCATCTGAACCAATTTTTAAGACTGTAAAAGCAACTTGAACAGTTGCCTTTTTGCTAACTTAACAATATTCTTTGTTGTACATTTTAAGAACTGATTAAGTCAATTTTGTTTCTTGCTTATTGCATTCTCCATATTATATGCAAAAAAAAAAGTTTGCCAAATCTAGTGTCATGAAGCTTTCCATCTGTGTTTCCTTCTTAAAGTTTTGTAATTTTGACCCTGAAATTTAGGTCTTGTATCCATTTATGTTAATTTTTGTATATGGGGTAAAGAAACACCTATTTTATTTTTCAACTGAAGAGCCAATATCCCCTTAAACATTTGTTGAAAATATTCTGTTTTCCACATTGAATGGCATTGACAAAACAATTTTCTAGGTATATGAGATATATTTATTTCTGGGCTGTTTATACTTGCATTATGGCAATACTTTTAAATAAAATTGCAAAGTTTATTTCATCTTAAATTTTTGGAAACATCTGAAGAGGTTTGAAATTTCTTTAAATGTTAGGAAAAATCCATTAGTAATGTTGTCTATCCTAGACTTCTCTTCATTGGGAAGTTTTTGATCACTAATTTAATTTCCTGTGTTCTTCTATTCACAATTTCTATTTCTTCGTAATTCATTCTTATTAATTTGTATGTTTCTAGAAACGTACCCATTTCACCTATTTCACTCAGATTGTTGGTGTACAATTACTCCTAGTAATCCCATAATCCTTTCATTTTCCTGTAAAATTGATAGTAATACACTTTTCCAATTATTCTAATCAATGCAAAGCAATTGTACATATTTATGTCATACAAAGTGATAATTAAATTCATGTATACAATTTCCACTAACTATATGTGGAAAATTAGCACTTATATCCCCTTTAACATTTATCATTTCTTTATGTTGGAAACTCTTGAAACCCCTTTAGAAGATTCATAAATAAATTATGATGAATGATAATTTCCTATGATGTTATAAGGCTAGAATTTACTACCTCTACCAAACTGTGCTTTAATATCCATTTCCAATCTTTCTCTCATCCTCCATTCTTTTTTATTTTCCTCATTAATGACCATTCTCCCTTTCTTTACTTCCATGAGATCAACTTTAATTGTTTCCCGATTTGAAGAACAACATGTAGTATATATCTTTTGGTTCCAACACTCATTTCACCTATTTGAGTCTTCTCATTTTCTTATTCAATTTGTATTAAAGGTTGTATATTTATTGATCATTTTAAAGGATCAGCTTTATTGGTTTCGTGGTTTAAATTTTGAAAAGATTTATTCATTTTAACTGGAAAGGCAGATTTACACAGAGGAGAGACAAAGAAGATCCTAAATCCATTGATTCACGCCCCAAGTAGCTGCAATGGCTAGAGCTGAGCCCATCTGAATCCAGGAGCCTAGAGCTTCTTCCGGGTCTCCCCCCAGGGGCACAGGGATCCAAGGCTTTGGACGACCCTCTGTCACCTTCCCAGGGCACAGATGTGGGAGCTGGGTGGGAAGTGGAGCAGCCTGGACACGAACAGGTGCCCATATGGAATCCTGGCAAATGGAGGAGGAAGATAAGCCTATTGAGCCATTGTACCAGGCCATATATTTTGAATTTTAAAACTTATTTATTAGGGTCATCATTTTGGTATAGCAGGTAAAGCTGTCACTTTCAATGCCAGCATCCCATATGGGTACCAGTTTATGTTCTGACCATTCTGTTTCCAATCCAATTCCCCCAAAATAGCCTGTAACAAGAAACAGAAGATGGTACACGTGCTTGGTACCCTGCCATCCATGTGAGAGACTGGGAAGAAATGCCTAGCTCCTGACTTCAGACTGCCTAGGCATTGACCATTTTAGCCATTAGGGGAATAACACAGAAAACGAAAGATCTGTCTCTCTGTCCCCCTCTTTGTAACTTATACTTTCAAATAAATAAATAAGTCTTTGAAAAATAATTTGCTCCCTTCTGCTGATTCACTCCTCAATGATTGCAACATTAAGGACTGGGTCAGGCCCAAAGCCAGGAGCAAGGAACTACACACACAGTTGTTTCTTCTGAGTGTCAAAAACCCAATTGTTGAGCCTTCACTATTGCCTCCCAGGGTCTGCATTATCCAGACTCGGGAGCCAAAGGTATGTATCAGATGGTGGCATGCAAATGTAGAATGTGGACAGAGAAACCCCTAAATGAAGCACTCACCTCTTTGACTTTCTCTGTTGTTCTTTACTCTTTGTATTATTTGTATGTCCTTTAATCTTTCTTCTTAATCATTTCCTTCTACTAGTGTTAGGTTTAGTTTGCTCCTTTTCCAGTTTCTCAGTTATAAACTGGCTGCTGACTTATAATATTTCTGTCTCTTAAAAAAAAAAAAAGCAGAGTTACAAAGACAGATGGTGAGACAGAGATCATCCATCCTCTGATTCACTCCCCAAATGGCCATGATGGCAGTGGTTGAGCTGGGCCAGGCTGAAGTCATGGGCCTGGAACTCCATCCAGGTCTCCTACATAGATGCAGAGGCCCAAGTACTTGCGCCATCTTCCACTGCCTTTCCATGCATCTTAGGAGGGAGCTGTATAGGAAGTGCAGCAACTGGGACTCAAACCAATATCCATATAGGGTATCAACGTCCAAGGCAGTGTTAATCCATTGTACTGAAGAAGCCAGCCCTCATTTCTCTCTTTCTAATGTAAATATCTGTGGCCATAAATGTTTTTCATTTACCAGTTTTCTTTCTTCATAGTATAAAATTTGGTATGTCATGCTTTCTTTTGTCATAAAATATATTTTGATTATCCTTATGAGTTTTTGAACTTTGATTAAGAATATATTCTTTAATTCCATGTATCTTTCAGTTTCCTGTCTACACTTGATTTCTACTTTCTTTTTATTGTCACAAAAGAGCACCTTGTATGTGTTCAGCCTTTTTAAGTTTATTAAGGTTTATGTTGTGGTATAACATTTTATCTCTTCTGAAAATGTTTCATATTTCTTAGATAAACATGGCTTCTGCTCTAAGGGGTAGATTGCCTAAATGTGTTAGGATCATTGGTCTGTAATGTTTGCTTTCTGTAGCAACTCACTGATACTCTAATTTTTAATACATTATTATTAAAAGTGAGGAATTGAATCTTCCTACTTTTATTATTGTGGATTTTGTTTCTCCCTATAATTCTGTTAATGTCTGCTTCACATATATAGTGGCTCCAGTGGTAGTTAACATAAGTTTGCACTTATTTTTATATATTTGTATGAATTAAACATTTTTAGTATTATATAACATTTTCCCCTTATCTTTTGTAACAGTTGCTGTCTTCAAATCTATTTGGTATAATGTTTATGTAGTCCCTCTGCATCTTCTGACGTGTCTTTGCACTGATTATCTTTGTCTATTCCTTCACTTTTGATTTAAGTATGCCCTAAGATTTAGAATCTAAGATCAATTTCTTGTAAACAATACATAATTGGATACTGTTTTTTAACAATGCATTCTTCCAATAAATGTCTTCTGATTGAGGATTTTGAACACATATCCATTTAAACTAATGCTAATAGGAAAGAACCCAATGTACTTTGTTTCCTGTTATCCTATTGTCTTCTGGTTTTTATTTCTTCCCTTTCAGTTTTTCTTTGTGTTTAATTGACACAAACT